TTTCCAACTATTCAAATATTGTAACTACCAAATAATTAATACATTATTAAATTTAAATTAGAAATAAATGTTCTAATAAAAAGACGTACTCGATCTACGAGGCTTTTAGCTTCGTTCAATTCTGCAGGCGTAATCCTGGCATGTAGATCACGCGTGGCACGCACCTGCATAATTCACGGGTCGGAACGATGTCATCGTAGGCGCGTAAGAATGTTCAAAAAAGCCGTGATGAAAGAAAGCTCACCACATGTGCACGAGCTCGGTAACCTCTCTCACCGCCGTCGTTATGCGTCACAGCGGGAACTAACGGAGGGGTGGCAAAAAGACTCGCCCCTCGCCGCAGGGACAAGAACCACCACCTCCAAGATATTCGAGCAATTTCAGCCGTAGGAATATTCATGAACGACGCCGCGGTTGCTGGCTATACTGTTTCGCTTCTATTCACTCTACGGACGGCCCGGTCGAGGTCAGAAGGCCTTGCTTTACGAAGCAGGAAATCTGTGCGGATGGAAAGACCATCTCTAGAGAAAAAAAAAAGGAATAGTCGAGGGTGGGGACGGGGTTTTCTGTGGAGTGGAAAATGAGCCGAGAGAGAGAGAGAGAGAGAGAGAGAGATTGTCATCGAGGTTTAAGCAGCGACATCCGCGTTTCAATTAGCCGAAGTACGTGGACTAAAGAGCTGTTGATACTGTGCAATTTGTCATGGTAACCTGCCCGTTAACCAATTGATTTAAGTGCTTGAATAAACGACGAGATGTCTGGTCAAATACACGAATGAGCAGAGGATAACTTATTTTTTTTCTTCTGTACATGATGAAGCGTAATGCATCAGAGAAATGCACGATTTTTTAAATATTCTGTATGCACATGCAAAAAGATTTCGAACTATTTAATAAACACTTGATTACTTGATTATAAAAACAATATTATAATATTCTCAAAAAGAGGGAGAACAGCATCAATAAATTAACTGAATTGTGCGACTAATTGCTACTCTTTTAATTTGTTATTTCAATCACTCGGAGCACGCTTTAATCCAGTTATAAAGAAAAAAAACTTAAGGACATCTGCGATACCGACTAAAACTCTGAACCTTGTTCCTGCATAATTTACTTTGCAATACGAAGCGTCCTGTCCAATCCGGACGATAGTTTTTTTTGTGTCGAGACGAAGAAAATCAAGAAAATCTTGTCTCGTTCGAACTCTCACGGCCTTGTCCGATTTTCCGACCCGCAAACGCTAACTCGCGAAGTCGAAACTCTATCGACAAACCTCTCGTAGTCGACGACAAGAGGAAATTCGAACGGTAGTGCGAGACAATTTGCGGAATCGCGATCGCCTTGAGGCTGGGAAATCGAAAACCCATGATTGCAATTTGCGCGCGCGAACACTCCGCGCGTCGCTGTAACGCGGCTGTGGGCTGCTCGCATTGTCGTGCGATGTGCCAAGTTTCTGCGTTTCGATCGCGTTGCACGTCTCGTTGGATCCCGAAGACATCTTGAGGCTCCGCATAAATCAGTGGTGCTTGTAAATCGTATTCTATCAAGCTGGTGTTCTAATAATTCTAATTCATTATTAGATTATTCTCAATTTTTAAAAATAATCGTGATTATTTAGAAAAAAAGAATAGAAACCTAATTTAAAAAGTTATCCTGAAATCGATACTTATTCAACATTTTTAATTGTATGTTCAAAGTTATATCGACATTTTAAAATTCATTAATTTTATTCAATTTTATTGTTAAGAATTTAATTTCAGATTTTGTGTTTTTCCACTCAGCAAGCATAGTACATACACAATTGTAACAATTGCAAAATTGTGTGTTACAATTAACTTGTTACAACTCACTCCAAACTTTTCTAAGCATATAAATGAAAAAGCGTATTGATCGATACGCGTCGATGCGGAAAAGTTACGATATTTTCATGTCGATTCAACTATACATATAAAAAAAAACTCGAAATATAATATTCTTGTTCACTACACAATTGAGTTTCTTAGAAACGTGCATGAGTGAAGTTATAGCACCCCAATATTAAAATTCCATTCAGTTCTGATTAGAGTCGTCGCTTCATTTTGAAGAGATGAAGAGTTCCCTATAGTTTATAACGAGCCGTTCAGAACTATTCATTCGATCATGAATTTTAATAAGAAGTTAACACCCTAATTTTAAATTTTAAATTAAATATTGTTATTTGTTATTTTACATACGCCAGAAACGTTCCTTCACTCCAAATCCAAGTGTGTAAATCTGTAGTCACTTTATACGCGTGTTATATTTTACACATTTTATCTGTGTTTTACACAGTTAAATGCGTATTTTTACACGCTTAATTTTACAATAATATGTGCAAGCGTGTAAAAAATACGCATTTAACTATGTCAAACACAGATAAAATGTATAAAAATATAACATGCGTATATAAATGCGTAAAAAGTGACTATAGATTTACACACTTGGATTTGCAGTGTTTACATGATCTTGATGTTGAATATCGTAAATGTTTCATTTATTTCATATTAGCTCAATATAATCTTACATACAATTTATGCAATTTTGCTATTGTTTACAATCAGAAAAAAAAATGATGACGAAGAACATATTTATTGATTTTTAGTTAGCAGATCTAATCGATACATAATTGTTGAAAAATTTCATTTGATCATTTTTCTACATTTCTATTTTATATTTCTTTGATCCATAAATGATTTTAAAAAATTGCATAAAATATTACATAATTTTAAATATTCCTTTTCTTAAATTCCAAATTTTCAATTCTTTATATCTCAAGGTCTATTGACATTCTCAACATTTTTCTTACGTGCATAAAAGTCATAACTGATTAAAAAGTAAAGAAAATAATAATACAGCGGACCGAAAAGTAATTCGCGAACATTAATGGCCGTCGCGAAGAATCTCGACTTATTTATGTCACACAACTGACGCGCTTCTTTTATTTTGTCGCGTCTCATTAATATGGGGACCACCAAGACTATCTTTTATCGCTAACGAGGCACGGCGGTAAACAGAAGAGGGCGGCAGACGTCGCGTCGGGGATGACAGTAGTGTTAATCGGCAATCCCTGTCCTCCACCTTCAGATTGTCCCTTGCACCGGAAGTGTCACCGAAGGTCGGATTTATGGCGGGAATGGGTTGAGCAGGGGTTACCGGACTCTCCCCCCCCCCCTGGTCGTACATTTCGGTTCCAGAACTTTTTCGAAATTTATCGCGTTACAGTAATATCTATCATCTCGTTGACGCTTGTGCCAGGAAGGAGGGAAACAGATCTATTTAATTTGTTTAAAAATATTTAAGTGCGCTAAGCTGTGCAATAAAGAATCAGTAAATATTTATCGCGACTTTAGCGTGTAGCTTCGAAAAGTGACGATGCACTGCAATTTCCAAATATTATAAATGTTTTAAAGAATCTTCTAACAATCATAAATTTAATAATTTCAAGCGTTTTCTATATTTTTTTCACTCTTGCGTTCTTTCTTATTTCAAAGATCCGAAAGATCTGTTCTGAGCGAGAAAGATATGGAAAATACGTAACGCGAACAAATACTGTATCTGTCATCACGACATCATTTGTCTTCCGTTATTAGCTGTCTATCTCAGTCGATCCGTCCATTAGCCTACATATTTACGCTTTATATCACTCAATCAAACACTCAGTAGCGATCTTTACGCAAAAACTGCTGATCTAATTCATGAAAAATTTTGTCTTCGCGTGCGCTAAATATCGTGTTGCCTTTGCTTAAATTTCGTACTTTCGCATCATCAATCAAAATATCCATCAATAATCATTTAAGAAAAAGATAAAGATAGATCGCGATTCCGTAAAAATTCCGACAGCTGATTGAAGTTTAAAACGTTCCTGGAGCGATTTTTTTAAAATAATTTGTCTCATTTCTAGCTTCGCATAGAGTAAATCATAAGGTTCAAAAACACAATATAAAATATTTCGATCAAAAACACGTGTCGGAAGACACTTTTATGCTCAATAAACTACTCTCCCGGTCATTTAAAAATTTTAGCTACGCCAAAAATAATTTTTTCCATTTCTACTTTTGCAGAAAATAATTTCTAAGTTCCAGACATGAAATAAAAAATGTTCTGATTGAATGTTGGAAGGCACTCTTTCGATAAACAACCCCTTGGTCACTTAAAAAATTCTATAGCTACGTCGACCATTGTATTCGATCGGAATGTTTTTTTTTTCGTTACTCTATACAAAGCTAGAAATGGGACAAATTATTAAAAAAAAATCACTTCGGGAACGTTCCAAACTTCAACTAAAACTTCAGCTAAAAATGAAATCAGCGGAACACAGATTTATACCATAGATCGCTAGCTTCGAGAAATGAAGTGAAGCCAAGTACCTCAGGAAAGGAAATAGTAGCCATCTTTATCCAGTAATGGGTTACATTCCAAAATGTCAAAATTTTCATCAATATTATTAAATGTACACTAATACTACTTTATAAAGCACCGCATATGATTACCGAGTAAATATGACGTCTGGCTTCAACTCAACTGGTACTAAACTATAGCATGTTAGCGATCTATATATTGAAATCTGTGTAGTGGAATCGATTATTGCGAATTATCGATCTGTGCTGTACAGTGTCTTCAATTTGCAATACGCTAGCGTCTATCTGCCACGACTAGCCATCCTCCGAATTTTAACACGCCAGAAACATCGACGACAGTGATGCATGTGCCAAAAAAAGCACTATAAAAGACACTCGTGCCTGACAATCCTAATAATTGGATGCACGTTGCCCGCGATCGAAATAAAATCGTAGGGTACGCCCCGCGTTAACGGGCCATTTGGATGGAAATTCGTGCCGTTAATAAGGTACAAAGCTCTTGCAAGCAAACGCAAAAAGCGCCTATATCGCGCCGACAGAGAGTAGATTTACGATCACGGCAGGAAGGGTAGCCGTTGCCGGTTCGACAAAGGTTAACCGTTTTTCCCGTTTATTTTCGTTGCAGGGCGACCCATGGTTTATCCACCGAGTCAAACGGTGACGGCGAACGAGGGCGAGTCCCTGGACATCATCGTCGAGTTTTGCTCCCAGCCGACCTACACGAACGTTTTCTGGATATCGGAGGAGCGTGTGTATAAACCGGACGCACCCTCCCTCGACGGGGTCCGAGCCCTTGCAATCGAGGTAAATTTGCATGTTCTCGCTATATCAAACATTGCTCGCGTGCTTACGCGCCTTCATACGGTTTCTCAACTCGCACGAGGACGTCCGTGAAATTCGAATTACGTAAGTACACTTAGTCTCAGAAATTATGTCAATTCGATAATTTGCAATTCATGCTCGAGTCCATTAATGTCCCTCTCAGAGTTACGCAAAATAATTTAATAATTTAATTACTGATTTCTATTTCTTCCCTTCTCAAAAAGGGAAAGTTAAATTACTTTTGAACGTCTAATAAATTGTTGTATATTTATTTATAATATTTTTAGTAATAACGACACTAAATGTACTTTTAAACGAATAACTAATTGGAAAAATATACCCATTCGAGAAGAATCACTTCCGTTTCCGGAAATTTAATATCAACGTTATAAATCTCGCAGCAAATTACGAACGCAAAAACGAGGTTTTTCTATTGCTCCGAAATAATTACAATCTTCATAATCTGATCAGTCTGCTTTTTTTTCTCTACTGTAAAAACATTTTTATTCTCACGTACTTGCGAGCAAATTAATTTATTGTTCCTTCCAAACGCACTTTAACGGTCGTATTTTCACTTTACAAGAGGAAAAATAATTACAAACAACAAATATAGAAATTGCGGGCTTTATACTTTACGAATAGGTAAACAACAAATAATATACAGCAGAATTGCACAAGAAGTACGTCGATCACGTATTCACGTCAACTTGTAAATATTTGTCATCATATTGTAGTAATATTTAGTGGTTTAGCGTAACAAATTATTTATTTACGTGAATATTCCTTATTCACGTAAAATCATACGACATATGTTTTGTCGCGATGTTTGAAACAACGAATTAATATTTCTATCAATCGTAGATATAAATTACATGTACAATTTATAATTACATGCATTGTAATTACATACATTAACGAAGCAACTATGTTTGCTTTCCACTTGCTTATTGATTCAGGCCTTTCACTGTAATGAAACCGGTAATGAAATAGGAGAATTTTATTAAAAGGCACGATTTGATTTACTCTGTTTCGTGTGGGTGATTTCTTTTTGTTTTTGTCCGCAATCTCGTGCTCTCGTGCGCTGTAAAAAATGCCGCGCAAAAACGCAATTCGCGCGTCCGCTGAAAATCCGTCGTCTTTTGCAACACGGGGATGACGTTCGTATACCCGCACGGGGATTACACGCTTCCCCATAGGAGAGCACGGTTCGGTCCTTCGACGCGAAAATTATGCCGCTATCCCCCGGATGTTCGCGCGATATCCGGGAGGCGGTATTGCGACGCGCGACTCGGCAGGGCTGAGAGATAGAGAGAGAGAGAGAGAGAGAAAGAAAGTTAGAGAGAGCCGCACCGAAAACGGCCACGCTCGCCTCTCGCTCGCGAGGACGCCGGAGGGTTGGCGAGATGAAAGGGATGCCGGCACGAGCGGTGTAGGGACGGTGACGAAATACTGCGGAAATGTATGCAGGCCGGTTCGCGCGTATGCATATACGTATGCGCTTATTTCATTTCCACAGCCGGCGCACTTCTTTTTCCGCCCGAGCGAAGACGAAATCCGCGCGGGCGCACGCACGCGCGCGCGCGCGCGGAAGTAGTCGCATCATAAAGGATGGATTAACCATTTTTCCAGGAGTGCCGAGCGGACGCGGACAATGCGACGGAGCTTTGCGAGGGATTTGCCGATGCACCCGGTGTTGCGTTTGTTTTTATTAACGTTTGATCCTCTCCGCTATGCGAGCGCGATAGGGACGCGCGCAGTCCGATTTCGCGGTGCGAGTAACGATTGGCTCGGTCGATTCCATTGAAAATTGCGGACTTTATTGGCAAGTATTGACGATGCGAGCGCGATGTAGTGTCGTGTTTACATTACAGATATAGTGCACGGCGTATGTATCCCGCGTCCGTGGATAATATTTGTGAAATACATCTTATGCGGGATTATAGCATTCGCGCGCATTATTCCCCGCAGCGTTTGGACTTTAAATAACGCGTTAGCGAACACGAAGCAGGGAGTGTATCGATGCTGCAAGCGATTAGCGCAAAAAGAAATAGCGTACTGTATTAAGAAAGGAGAAAAAAAAATGTAATTACAGTTTTCGGACGGTGCAATTTCTTTCTGATCATCGCAATATTACGATAATATTATCGGATATTATTAAGATGCTTTTGTGAGAATATGCTTCGTACGCAAAATATTTTCATAGCGCCGCTTACCGTATCGATCTTCTTTTCGCGACAGTACTCTGTTGAAGGCTATTACATATCGTATGGAGACTTTACAAAAATTCCTGCATAACGTTGAAAGATGATTTTATTGCTGAATCACGAAAGCTGCAGATACAGAGCAAAGTCAATCGTCGATAAACGATGGTTGATAACCAATTAAACATTTATAATTTTGTAATTAAAACGTTCACAAACAAGAAAGTTTATTAATTATTAATTGATTTTATTGTTATGCTTAATCGGACTGTGTGATTGTATTTTTCACATAACCAGATTTAAATATATTTACTCTATTACACGTATTGTAATATTGTTTTTACGAGGACTCCAAACGCGCGTACATGCGTAAACAGAAAAAATTTGACATACAATTTTTACTATATTTAATTATTGTGTACATGTTAATATTAATTTCAAAGAAATTAATTTATAATGGAATTGTGTTGTAATAAAAGTAATTGAAAGATGAAAGCTAAAGTGTAGTATATAATCGAAGTAAAGTTACTAAAACAGATTAAAAAAATTAGAATAAAGGCGCAAGGAGAAACGAAAACCAGAAAAAACAGCAATAAGATGAGGTAAAAGAAATGTTAAATATGTTATTAGTTAAGGATAGCAGAAAGCAGAAAGAGAATAAAAGGAACGAGAAATAAAAAGAGTACGAATGGAATGATGGAAGTTTACAAAGAGAATAGGCTAATGGAGGATAGAGAAAAAGCCAAGAAACCTTGATAGAAAAAGCTCGAACGGGCAAGGTAGAATACGTTAGTAAAGGAATACTGAGTAAAGTAAGGGAAATGGACGGCGAGATAGTTTGAGAAGGAAAAGGAAAAATGAAAGGCAGAAAGTTAGAATGTGTTAGCAGAGAGAAAGTTTAAGCAAACTAAAGGGCGAAAGAGAGAGAGAGAGAGAGAGAGAGAGAGAGAGAGAGAAGAGGAGAAAAAAATGAGGATGAAAAGGACAAGGCAACAGCAAAGCCAATATGATAGTGTGATAAAAAAGGATGGAAATATGCGTGGTGACGTGGTAAAAAGAAACAGAAAGATGTGAAGAGATGAAAGCAACAAGAAGAGGAAGATTGGGAGGAAGTGTAGCAAGCGAGACGCGGGATGAGTCGCAAAGAGAGACGCGAAAAAGGAAAGTGGGATGATGCGAGCAGAACTCGTGAATAAAGAATATAAAAAGAATGGATGGAAAGTGTGGGCTTGCGTCGTCGCGGTGCCCAAAAAGGATGGAGGTCGGAGGGCGGGAGGAGGCCGAGCACCGCGCGGGGGTTAAATGGAGCAAGAAACTGCCGATTCCTTGCACGCGAAAAACTCGCAAGACCCCCTGCAACGACGACGATGACTCCTCCGTCTGTTACGAATCGTAGCGACGAAATATATCGCCGTAAGATGCATGACATCAGTTTTGCCGATGAACAGCACGAGAGAGTCTCCGATTCAATTACGTATTCCTCCCCGTTGTTGTGTTATCGATATAAAGTGGATGCGAGAAAAACGCTGTTGCCTCGACATTAAAAGGTCACATTGACACGCCGTGTGTATTCGATCGACTTTGTGCGAGCAAAACGATGAAGCTTTCACTATGTGCATTCTAGTCTAGTACCTAGAATTTAAGATTGAAAACGAAAGTGTCAGAATATTATGATCTCTTCAATGTCGCAATAGCAGAAAAATATCAAGTATAATAGTACATGATATCTTTTAATTTCAAAATTGATGGATAAATGTTATGTCTTGGCATGTAATGTCTTCCTCTTTTCATTACCAAAGAATCATCTCAAATTGCAGATTAATGCAAGTTAGAAATAAATCATGTTTTGGCTAAATATTATATGCATACGTATTATTACTTGAATCACATAGAAAATTCAGTGTAAATTTGAAGCATTTAATACGTAATTTAAGGTAAAGATTTTACATTAAATTAACTATATAAAATATATAAACAAAATATTTTGACAATTAATTCCTGAAACTAGAAGAATTTTTAGAAATGCTAAATGCGATCTGAAGCAGATCTTGGTGCTTAATAATATTTTTGTGTAAATCTTACAATTTTCAGGTAAACTGTGTGCCGAATGTTGGTCTTGAAACTAATTTTTAATATATAATTAATTTCTGGTTTTTTAAACAATATAAAATGAGAACATAGGTAATAAAAACTATAGGAATAATAGTCGATTAGCTATATCTGAGGTCAATGATGAACGAAACGTTCACAAATCTTAAGATTCTTAAGTCGTATAAATACTTAGCAAGAGGCTTTATCTCTTTTTTCATCATTTCGTACAAACCATCAGTATTGCTCTCCTATTAGGGTCAATTATCCCATAAACCGGAAGTTCCGTGGACCTATGATCGGCTTAATGCGATTGATTTTTCCATTAACAAAGAAACGAAGTCGAAGAAGGAGGAGTCATTATAGGTACTAATGCGGAAAGTAATAAAACGTATTTTAAGGGGATGAAAGACGAAGAGAAGATCGAGAGGGTGAGGGCTCTAAGAAGAAGCAGTCGAAGGTAAGATGGATAATTGAAGCGAGAACGTAGAACGACGCCGGAAGTTTCCAGTTTCCTCTCGCCGGAAGTTTTACGTAAAAGTTTAATCGTAAAGACAGAGAAAGAGAAAGATAGAGAGAGAGAGAGAGAGAGAGAGAGGGAGGAAAAGAGAGAAAGACCATGCCCGATAAGGAGACGACTGGATGGACGTTATCGAATCGCAAGTTAATGAGCATTATGCGATAAAAACGTCTTAGTCTGGAGCATGACCTGCGGCAACCAGATCTCAATGGTTTAAAACGCCATGAAAGCGCCATAAAAACGTCCTTCATAAAGATCGTCGCGAGCACGAGCTTGGTACCGTCACTGTGAATTGTAGATGCCATTTTACCTTGGCTCGTTATCCTGCCTCAGCTTGTTAAAGAAAACTTTCGGAATTCTCTCTATAGCGTTTCGCTTGACATCTTATCAGGGAACAAAGCAGCTCGATATGGGTCAACCTCAAGCGAGTTCGTTTCCCCGCAACTCCCCGTGACTGCAAATAAGAATTTCAGTTAACCTTCGGGAAAAACAGCTTTCATCGTGAAATACAAAAATATCCTGCTTAGTGAATTGAAAAATGTAATAAAAGTGCATTCGAATTCAACGGCAAGACATTTAAAAGAAAACACGTCAATTTACTTAAACTTACATTAATATTATAGTACATTTTTACGCAACATTTCTTTGATATAAAATTTTAATTTTTAATATATGTATACATAAATTTCGTAAAAGAAACAGAAAACTGTAATGAAAATCAAAATAGCATTTATTTAAATATGAATATCAGATGAATAATTTCTTATCCCAATTTCTTTATACGTATACTACTGAGCGCATGTTGAAAACAGCGCTGAAATTATTCACAACCTCGGGCTTTTTTAGAAGTGAGGAAGACACGCGCGCGATAAAGAACATAATTATTCATGCTCCGTTTCACGTTTTTTTTTTTTGCAGGACGGCGGCACGGAGTCGTGTTACAGGACGACCCTGCGTTTCGAGACGATTCAGTCGTCCCATACGGGAGCGTGGTTGTTCGTAGTCCGTTCGCCGGATGGGATCGCCGACGCTTCCGTTCTACTCAACGTGACGCGCGCTTCCGGTTACAGCCATGCCCACATCCGATCAGCGAGTATCACGTACCTTCTGCTCTGCCTGACCCTGCAGGCGATCCTGCGGGAACACCGTCGCTGAGGCGATCGTCCGTTGGAGATTTAGGCGGAAGAAACTTTGGCAAAATTCCTTATAGCGATAGCGGAAAGCTCGTAACACGTCAGCTTTCCCAATAACGAGAGGAAGAGGGGGAGCCTCTCTGTACAAAATGTCGAAATTCTTTCCCCGAAAGAATTTCCGTGCGCGCGATCCCCGCGTCAACGAGACGCACAATTTTGCTCGACGTGCCGCGACGCGACACTCACGTGTCTCCGGCAGGAATACAATATGAAACAACCGAGATTATATGGGAGCTCTGCCGACGCGCCTTCGGCGCGGATTAATACGGCCTTGGTGTTCCTCCGGATCTCCGTGGCGGGTCCTCTTGTCATTCTACTCTGGAACGCGATTCTGGAAGATGCGTTCTACGTATGTGCGATTGCGCGAAAGCGCACGGGCCGTTGACGTCGTCGTGTGAAATCTTAGGCAAGCTGCGTCGGACGAGTACCCGCGCGATCGAGACACGATTAAAATTCGATTTCTCTGGCCTTATATATGAGAATAGCGGAGAGAAGAAAAGAGAAGGGGAGAAAAGAGGAGAGGAGGAGGAGAAGAAGAAGAGAAAAGACAAAAGGAAAAGATCGCGCGGGTGACGAGATACGTATCTAGAGTGAAAATTTGTAAACTACGAATCTCTGCGCGCACGCGTGCATATACAGTGCGCGATACGCCATACGACGTGTATATACTTGTATAGGTAATAAATAAATAAACCGGTGTTTACGAATTGTGGAACGATGTTCCCCGCGTGTAGGGATCAGAATGAAATGCCGACCAATTCTTTTTTTCTTTTCCCATCCCCCTCCCTCCTCTTTTTTTCTTGCCGCTCGTGAATTTCTCGCAAACGAAAGGGAACGAGATTACGGCCGTCAAATTGTGGCCGAGCAAACTCGGATGGATCGAACTTTGTGCCGAACTGTAATTTATTAATATCGCGAAGAGCGAACACGCGACGCGCGATAGTGACGAGCTATACTGCCCGTATAATACTTATTAAATAACGAAATAATAAAGTGTTCGCGCGCGCGCGCGCAAACCGGCAGGATGGCGCGACGCGACAGAATATAGAAAGATAATTGCAGATTTTAATCTTTAACGAGGGACATACGCGACTTCATGCACGCCCAGGACGAAAGTGAATGGGGCACGCCGTACCGGACGAGAGAAACTTAATTGTGCAACGTCAAATACTCCCAAAGAATAGGGCGACTAAAATAAATTGTTGTATATTATTTAGAGTAAGTAGAGTTTGATAGTATGTATATAGTGACTGTAAATGCGTAGGCTATCGTACGCCCGTACACGACGAATTATACAGTGACGCTGTTAGAGATATATTTATTATTCGTTGATATATTTTTATAAAGTTTTATTTAGCCATAAGTTCTCGTTCGCCTTCTCCCCCCCTCCCCCCTCCCCCCTCTCCCGAATCTCGTTCGCACGATCACGACACTTTCGTTGAGTGAGGCAGAGAGGAGCAAAGCGACGGCGGCGGTGGCGCTTTGTATTACGAACTTTTCAACGAGAACCATTACAATAATAAAATACACTGTGTCCTATGAACGTCCTAAATTGAATTTTAGCTGTAGCCCATCGTGAGAAACACGGACATTGTTGTCTTTTGCGATACTTTGATCTATTCCGATTGGAAACGGGACGTAGCGTGGCGTAGCGACCCTCCTGTTCCAATCGATTCCGCTTCTTTCGAGGATCCATTAAGGTAACTTTTTCGTAAAATTCGGTGGTTCCTAATTTTTGTAAAAAAATAGAATTTGTACTCGGCTTACCGGCGGCTGAATGCTAATCCTTGTCGCCGGTACGTCTTATCCGCGCGCGTGACCGCAGTCGGTACTATCTATAGATAACGAAATAAACATACCTGATGTCTTCACGTTAATTTAGTCGACTTTGACGAACCCGAGGTTTCTTTTCAGATCGCTAAGGTGTTACAAGTAAGCAACGTGGTGTAATCGTTGTACCCAATGATGCCTAAGAGTCCAATAAATGATATTTACAATAATCGCAGAGAGTGCACGTTTATCAATACTCCCGTTACCGTGATCTATTTCCTCTTTGCTTTCTTTTCCTACTTCAATTTAACCTCTCACACTAATATTACTCTTCCGCTTTTAAATATTCAACGCAATTAATTTGCGTTATGCAATTTAAAAATTAGAAATTTATCATTCCGTTAAATCGGATGTCGAATTCGCCATTTTCAACAGGTCGTCTGTTTGACAATGGCCAGAATTATATGTCGTAAGATTGGTTCAACGAAGGAAAGATTTTTTGGCGATTATAAAGATTACGAAACTTTGAGGGATCTCCTCGCGAGAAAGAACACGAATTGGGTCTCTCTAATCAAATAAGGTGAATCTGTGAAAGCTTCGGGTATAAGCTCTAAGTGAAGGGAACGAAGCCGCGGATACAGACGAATTACTTTCACAAAGAAATCAACGTGAAAAATTCCTCCAGTCAAAACGTGACCGACTTTACAGCCATTTTCTTCCAAATGGTTTTTGCCCGGGCCGCGGTTTGAACTGCGACATTTGAGACCCGGTCTGTTCTCTATTACTTTTACTTCCGGTCGTTTCCTGTTATTCCGCAAGATTTATATCCGTTTCTACATATACACGGCGGAAATGTATCGCGTGCATGCTAGGCTGCCGCTTCCTTGCTAGTTACGAAAATGCTGCCGAGAACAATACCTAACTGTTGAATTGAATTTCAACAAGTTTCTTTTGTCGATTTTAATCGTTACGATTGCTCGCACGTTTGCACTTAATAGATATTGATTGATGCAGAATATTGATATTAAATTGATTGGCACCGAAATTACGCGCGTTCGTTAATCTTGCTTTTCTCAAAGCATTCTGCGAACTGAACCACAATTTAAAGAAATAAAAAAAATTTTTCCCTAGTTATTGGAATGTCTGCCACTTGATAACGTATTAAGAAATGAATTCTCCTTTAAATTGCATACGTCAGACCGCAGCGAGCCATATCGTACTACGTTTGCGAATGTTCCTCGCTAAATTGCGCCATGTCGGAATTCGGCGGCACGAGAATTGGCCGCGTTATGCCCGCATACATATACATACATACATACATACATACATATATATATATATTATATATATATATATGTTATATATGACGATGAAAATAATTTAATTCGCAATACCAACACACGCAGCGTACCGTGGCGAATGCGCCAACCAAGTCACGTGTAACAGCCGCGTTAACTGGCGCGTACACGTGTATATATTTCTCGGCTTAAATATAACGAGCTTTCGCTACGAACATCGCGGTGAAGGCGGCAGGACGAAGAGAGGAGGCGGAGGTGGAAGAGGAGGCAGTGGGTTTCAGTTTGCAGGAAGCCCAGGATCGTTCCACCTCTTCCTCCGCGCACGGCGGAACAATCCGGCTTTGTCTCGTGGAAGCGCGCGGTGGAAGCGCGCTTCCTACACCACCACCTACCACTCGGCCACAATTTCAGCTTTTTAGACATTACCGGCAGATTGAAGAAGCTACGAGTGTGCTGAAAGAAGCGAAACGATCGTTCCAGGTCGTTCTGCGCTTTAAAACGCGACGCGGGACCACTCGGATCTCAGTTGGCCTACCGTTAATGATAATTACGCCGTTTGCGAAAGATTCGATTAATCCCGACAATCGCAGTCCGATTTTCACGGAACAACCGCCCAGGCACTCGTCCATTCATCGTCCCACTACGTTTCACTGAATATTTCATAGACCTCTCCAATATTTCTTATCCGATCTCTTCGTTTCGCTTGACGAATACAAATGATGGCTATGACAATGCGCAACTGATTGTGAATGGTCATAAAGGCGATATATACGCTCGAATGGAATAAAAATATACTTTTTCGCAATGCAATCGGCTTTTTAAATTGAACAATGTCAAACGTTAATTTATTACTCGATTTAGTTTTTTCAACTTATCATTTACAAATCTTTTAATACTAAAATTAATAAACGGTATAAATGTATGTGACACTTAAAAACATTATATTCCTTCTTTTCATTTTTCTCTAACGATAACACATTTTAACATGCAATTTTTAACGTACCTAGATTTCATTCCCTTCCATTAGAATCCTCGATTTTCCGGGTAATCTTTGGCATGAGAGAACGACAGAGAGAAACATTTGTAAACTTCCCCGTAAGTTGTGTTCCTACAAGCCGTATATTCGTGCACCGAGCCGCAACATCGCATTATCTCGGGAGATTTGAAACTCGTATGGAGAAAATTATGTTCGGGATTTCCGCGGCTGAGTCGGCGGCTTCTTGCGATCGTCCCTGTCCTTAATCTTACCGGTCGCAGAGAGAATCGATCCTGCTAATACATAATGGATCCCCGAGGTATGTGATCCGAAATTCGTCCAATCGAATTAATGGCGTCGACAGTACATTTTCCTCTCCCTTCCCTCCTTCCTTCTTGCTAAATTAATATTGCAAGGAGATATAATGTGTAAGATCAAATCTTTGTGCAACAAAAATCTATCGTATAAAGATTCTTCTTCTGAAGTACGTTCTGAGAAAATCGGGTAAGATAACTTTCGTAATTTATTATTATATGCTTTCAAAAAAGTAAGAAATAATAATGCCTTTTTTTTAACCGACAGATTGGCGATCCATTAAACACGCTATAAAAAAATATATAAATATAATACGAACAATAAAAATTATATGTTTAAAAATGGAAACATATACTTTGTATTTGCCATTCATGAAAAATTTAATATTTTTTAATAGTTCCGCAGAATACAAGGCGTCTCGTAAAGACCACAATAATACTTAAAGACAGATTCCTAAGATTTCTTTAGATAAAGATTTTAATATTAAAATATCAAAATTTAATAATTTTTTAATTATCAGTACTTATTTAAAGTTATTGAATTAGATCATCTATATGTCTATGTAGAATGCATTTGCAAATATCAAAAAAACAATCTTTATGTACGTAATATTTTTATATTGATATTGACAAGAAGGACGATAATCAGCTTTCGCTTTTAATACTATATGTTGCACCACACTTGAACGTACGAACTTTAGAGCCTAATTAATTAATTTTAAATACTACAAATTAAATTAAATTTTTTATTTATAATAATAAAACTCTAATAAAAATTCATTCAAAAAGTTTATATGGATCCACTCATTAACAAGTTATTTCCTTAAAATTCTAGTAAATTACGGTCATTGTGCTGGATAAACTACGTATAAGCCAAATTATTTGTTGTTTTATTTTTGCAGTTGATTCAGGCCGTGTTCGCAAAATTTTACGTAAAGTTTAAACCAATTTTTTCATCGTAATTTTTTGTCGCGCATTTTTTTTTTTTAAACTAATATATATTGTACAGCCCAAACATCCTTAAGCTTAAGTATACCAAATTTAGATACGAGTTATCTCTTTCTTCTTTCGTGTTATCTTGCCCAAGCTTTCGCGAAGCTCTATAAAGAGCAACTTCAAGAATATGCAGTTTAAAGTCTCGTGTTATCTTCTCTTGCCCGCGTCAAAGCAGATTTAACAATAAACTCCGAAACGGTAATACATTGCATCATTATTCTTGAACGTTTATATATTCCAATAAAGAGAATCAAGAATGGATGGTGCAAAGTTTGACGTAAAATGCGAGAACGCGTGTACGGCGCTTATTCCGCAAATTTCAAAATTTTAACCACCGTCATAAAATAGAAAAATACTATTTTATAGCAGATTTAAGTATCTAAATTAGAGATCGCAACAGGAAAGCGATCTCTAATCTCTTAGCTGGCTAACTTTCTTATTGTTAAATCTAGTAGGATAAGATGGCTTGGTGAACTGACTGTTTCAAGGAAATTATTTAACGTTATCATGCGTTACATCACATCCAGTTAAATCTTCTCTACCTAATTAAATGTTATCATACATTTACCGTCGTTGTCAAACTTTACTCAGTTATTGTATTAATTCTTCAAAAGTTTGTCGGCTACCACAATTAAACACGTGCTCTCATTAAGAGCCGGGGACAGATAGCTATCTTTGTTGCGATATTGCCGACATCTATCTTATCGCAATGTTCTGTCCCCGCTGAAAATCAAGTTCATCAGGGGAAGACAATTAACAAGAGCGAAGCCACCGAAATGCTCAGCGGCGGGCGCCTTCGTTCCCGAGGAGGACGTTCTCGAATAACGCCTACGTGGAGCTAGTAAATTACTCTTAACTTCTCGGAGGGTAAAAATTACGGAGTTGTAAGGCCAGGAACACCCGGGGAGGGCTTAAACCTCCGTCGCCTCGCGAGGGGCCATAATTCTCGCGCTATCTACACAGAAATTGCTCCTTGCCTCGTCCGGGCTAGCAGCCACCCGTGGGAATCGCTCGTCATTTATTTATTTTCCCACTTCCCACCGGGACGCGCACGTCAGAAAGCGCAAAAGATATACCCGAGGACATACGTGATCGAGAGTGCATGCGCCGCCACACGCCATCGCTCGTCCGCGCGAAATGCAGCGGGGCTGCACCTAATATTCGCAGAGCGATCAATTCGGAAGACAAAGAGCGATAACAGATGAGTCGAAAATTATGATTAGGCTAAGAATCCATGTCGGAAACCTAATCTTAAGATTAAGAACATTGCAAATTTTGTAGGAATTAATAAAAATAAAGATTATATATCTAATAAAATAACAATAATAAAAAACAATGGCAAAAAATATTTAACAAATATCTAATAAGGATTTCTAAGAGAAAAGTAAAAAAAAATTTTTAATTCCACGATTAAGTTTTCAAGATGCAGTTTTTTTGTTATTTTTGTTTTAACTACAAAGATAAAGTTTTTTATTTCTGTTGTCGCATTAATAATTATTAAAAATAATAATAATTTCTTCAATTTGAATAAAAAAATGGATAAAAAATGTAAGTTATTACGATATTTTCCACGTGATTCTATATTTTTTGTGTATACATTCTTGTACTTCTGTCTTGTATTTCTGTCTGCCATATTTTTATGAAAT